GAAATGTACAAAAGAGACAGGAAGAGATATTTCTCCAGTACATACCCATTCTGGTTGACGAGCAGACATCTAGATAGACGTCATAGTGTCATGCTGAGTGCTATACCAAGTGTGAGCAGGTCAAGGCTGACAGGTGGCGGGGGGAACAAATACCACATGGCTGACACTCCAAAATGGGAGGGGAAGGAGCAGATTTTCAAACAAACACCATGAGGATCTTGGAGGAAGGAGGCCAAGGCTAGGGTCAGGCCAGGAGACCAACTCACCACAACAGATACAACGTCCCCACATGAAATACGAGCACGGTCACATCATTCTTGGAATAGGTTAGTTGCTCTGGCTCCAGATGATTTACAAGGTTTTCAACAGACCCGACCCTAACTGCTGAGAGTCTCATGTCTTCCGGCCGTCACTGTTGTGAGCTTGTCAGACATGAGGTGAGCTTATTCAGAGACAAGACGCTCTTGGGACGGGAAGAGGTGGCTCTGGCCAGCCCGCTCCTATGGACATCTCTGGGTCAAGGGCAGTCTCGCCTGCCTGAGCACACGTATAAGCTGCCGGCACCTCTCTGTTGCTCAACTGAGAAATCCCGGTCTACCACCCACCCCCTTCCCATCATCTCATGCTGGAAGAGCATTGCCAAATCTGATGGCTCACACCGCAGAAGCACCTTCAAAACACCCCTGCATTTTCTCTGCCACTTGTTAAGTTCCTCATTCCCTCCCTGAGGAATGACCACCACAAATGTGGATCCGCCATCACTGGATTCTCGGGGAAGCGTGTGGTGTTATGTGGTGCTTGAAAATCTGGTCCAAAATAACTCACTCCCTGCTTATCTGTCCCCACACCCACTAGCTGGGTGTCTTCTTGGTACCTTTGTGTTAGGAGGTCCCAGTGGCCCGGCATCTATCTGCTGGCCCACTGGTACTTCAGGACCAGCTCTGCGTCCACGCGCTCTGCCCTGCCTCTCTTATGCTGGCCCCCAGTACTTTTCTAGACAACTCGACCACTGTGGCAGCTGGCATAGGAACAGCCCCAACCACGACAAATGTCAGGATGACAAGGGCCCTACCTACTGCCTTCATCACACTGGGACCTGAGTGCAATCCCCAACACAGACTTCAAGAGGCATTGAATAGTTTATTCCTGGACAATATATGTGACACGAGAGAAAAGGGGGGGGGGACTACGTCAGGGAGGAAGGGAACAGGCAAGTCAGGGGCATAAGGACAGCATGGGCGACAAAGGAGAACAGACTGTGTATGAAACGTCATGACGAAGCCCATTACTTTACATGTTAACTTAAGACTGATAATAAAACTGTAACATGAGAAAGAAAAGGAAAAGGCATTTCATGAAGTGATTAGTCACAGGGAACCCTGCTTACTCTGTACTTCCAAAAAGGATAAGCTACAGCTCAGAAAATTCAACCTTTCCAATGCTCTAAGAAGAGTGTGACGGAGGGAGAGCTAACTACGAGAAAATGAAGGTACCGGAAAATGACTCCTCCAGACTCCCAGAAGCCCTGAGTCCCAGGAAAGGGAGGTGAGTCTGGTGGCTGCACCCATGCTTGAATCCTTACTTCTTGTGTCATTGTGCCCACAGGACACTGAGTGAAGTCTTCAGCTGGGCCACAGCCAACAGGACCTACCACATCACCTCGTCTTCAGCTCTGTCGACCCCACGCTGCACTAAGCTGAGCTAGGTCCTTTAGCCTTCGTCCCTAATGCGCAGCACCTCCTTACGAATATGAGGAGTTCAATGTATTAACCGAAGCCAAGTGTGTGGGGTGCAGGATTTACTCAATCTCCCCCAGCCTGGTGCAATGCAGGCCAGAACTCCTAACACCCTTGCACTACGGAGGACAGGAACAGCCAACATGAGTAGACAGTGGGGATTCTTTTGTTTTCTCCAACCCCATCACTTCAAATACCTTTAAATGCTCATTTTACGGAATTTCTGACGAAAAGCATACTTAAATAAGTTGAAAGCAAAGAATCGAAACATTTGGGTGTAAGTTATAAGCATTCCAAGTTGAGATATCAACTTCCCAGCTGAGTTAGAGCCATGAGTTGTTCAAGGGCACCCTGAGAAACTGGGGTGATGCTCTTAGTTCGTGTTGACTCATGAATAGACTAGGGCCTCTAGCAGGGACTTGTGTGTAAAGCAGGCAGCAGCAGTCTAGTCTCTGGCAGATCCTCTGCAGGCAGGGCCAGGCCTGTTGTCAGGACAGAGGTGGCATTTGGGTTAGGGAAGTGGAGGCCCCATCAGAGAACTGGCAGAGGGCTGGGCATGGTAGTACACCCCTACAATCCTAGCTACTGGGGAGTCTGGGGAGAGAGGTTGTGAGTTTGACACTAGCTTGGGAGAAAAGCAAGACTCTCCCCAAACAAACAAACAACAAACAAACAAACAAACAAACAACAACAGGAGAAGAAGAAGTTTGGGACTCAGGGTCCCGGCCTGCTCTACCACCCATGTCCCTGGCCCCTTGCTCCAGGGCAGGTGTGATCTTCACCATACTCCCCATCTACAACAAAGGTGACTCTATTTACCTTACAGGAGACAGGAAGGAAGCAGAGAAGAAAACAAATAGCAGAAATACTCGGACTAACAACTAAATGTCACTTGTAATAGTTAGTCAAGCCACAGTAACACCATAAACTTCGTCTAACAGCCATTGTAGTTTCAATGGAATGAACCCTAATGCCCGGATGTCAGAACTCAACTCGACCTTGTTTTCGCCAGGCTACACCAGTTTCCAGCATCCTGCCTGCAGGAGGTGGCAACAGCTGTAGGCCACGGGAAGAAGGTAACTATTTAAGGGCCCGGGGACACTCGTCACACAGAAAAAAACCTTTGTAGAAAGACTTACTTGCCAATTTGGCACCAATGTGTTTCACCCTAGAATAGTCTCAACCATCAGCCTAGAAGGATGGACTGCATGTTCATAGCAAAGGGAGGCGTTCTTGATTGACACAGTTCCCGGCATTAGGCCGCCCTCGAAACTATCAGCAATGGAGTCAACTGAATACATGAGAGTAAACAACTATGTGCATCAGCAACTCCATTCAGCAGTACGTGAATGAACGTCGATTACGTAACAACAGCACCTGAGGGCCAAATGTGTATAAAAATACGTGAGAAAAAAACTGTACACAACATCACAAAAATGACAGCAAACTATACAGAGATGCGTGAGAGTTAAACGCACCAGGGAGTTGGTGAGAGCTAACGCTCGCTATACAATGATATGTGAACGAGAACTAAATGTATACAGTGACATGGTGACAGCCAGCTACACCACAGCACACTGAGAGCCAACTCGATGCAATGGTGTCTGAGTGAGTGTCACCTGGGTATAAAAGCACAGGTAAGCAGCAGCACCTGGATCAACCACACAGAATAAAACAACTGCACGTGGAGGCATGGGAGTGAATGAACTGTACACAGGGGTGCACAAATGAGAGACAACTGCACTACCAGCACATGAATGAGCCCAACACACTTTCTGATAATTAATATTTCAAACATTCCCATCAGGGCTTGACTATATATTATTTCTAAGTTATTCCAACTCTGGTTTTACAGTTTCTGATTTTTTAATTAAAAAACCAGAAAGATCAATGTGTTAGGAAAACACAATTTCTTGATAATCAAATTAACTAAGATTAGAGCACAGACTTTCTTTATACTTGATAGGAATCATCCCAGGGTGAGTGGGGGAATCTTTATTCAAAGATTATAAGTTTCTCTTTTAAAAGTTTTCAAACTGAATATCCAAAGGGAACACCAACCATTTTGATGGTAAGATTAAAAACAACATTTGGAAACACCAGTACTTCCACATCAATAATGAACTGCGTAGTACTGGAATACCCTCTTTCAATAAGACATTCAACAACAAATACAATTATAATAGGCTAATCTTTTCCCAAAAGAGATACAGGACATGGTAATTCCTTCACTTTATAATTTTTAGAAAATTTGAAAAGCTTAAAAAAGCATGGCAAAAATTCTACTAAACCAAGTATTAGCACTGTGATGTATTTAATTCCAGATTGCTCATGCATTACTCAATATGCTCATAAACCTGCCAAGCTTTAACTCTCTGTCCCAAGTTCTCTTCTGTTATTACAAGCTTGTAACCTTTTTTTTTTTTTTTTTTTTTTTTTTGGTGAGTTAATTTTTTTTTTTTTTTTTTTTTTTTGGTGAGTTCAGACTTTTTATTTAATTTTTATTTTTTTTGGTTTTTTGAGACAGGGTTTCTCAGTGTAGTTTTTGGTGCCTGTCCTGGATCTTGCTCTGTAGACCAGGCTGGCCTCGAACTCACAGAGATCCGCCTGGCTCTGGCTCTGCCTCCCGAGTGCTGGGATTAAAGGCGTGCGCTACTGCTGCTTGGCTAGACTTTTATTTTTTTTTATTATTTTTTAAATTTTTATTAAAAAAATTTTTTTATTCATTTTACATATCAACCACAGATCCCCTTCTCATCCCTCCTCCCACTCCCCCACCCCCACCTACTCACCCCTCATCCCCTCCGCCAAAAGGGTAAGTTCTCCCATGGCGGGGGGGGGGACAGGAAAGCCTGGTACATTTAGTTGAGGCAAGACTCAGCCCCTCCCCTCTGCCTCAAGGGTGAGCCAGGTGTCTGACCACAGGTAATGGGATCCAGAAAGCTGGTTCATGCACCAGGGATGGATCCTGATCACACTGCCTGGGGCCCCTCAAACAGACCCAGCTACACAACTGTCTCCCATATGCAGAGGGTCTAGTCCAGTCCCATGCAGGTTCCACAGCTGTCGGTCTATGGTTTATGCACTCCTATGAGCTTGGTTCAGCTGTTTCAGCCTACTACATGATTGGTTACCCAATGCTATGCTTACCCATATCCATCAAATTGTAAGTTTAAACGCTAATTCGCAAGATTGGAAAATGGCGTAATACTAGAAAATGACGATGGAAACAATACTCAGTTTTCCTCTGCCCAGACTTTGTACCTTCTGTGTCGCCACCACTGGAAGCATTTTCAGAGTTCGAACAGCTGGTAGGTTCCGGCAAACTAGGAATATACCCTGGAGGAGGCAAACTCACAGTGTAGAGCCGACGTTCAGGCTGGGTCTTAATGTCGCCATCTGCAGAGAAAGGGGCGCGGCGCGCACTAGTAAATATTATGTAACACAAGCAGACAGTTATTTGGCCTGATCATATTAGTACTGTTTCTCCAATAAAATTCAATGAAGACAAGAAATCAAGTAACTCAATAAAACCGAATCACTGTCATAAACACTACATTTAAAAAGCCAAGTATTTTGTCAGTAAAGCAAGTTAGCTATATGACCAGTTGTGACAAGTGGACCATCTACAATTACTTGTGAGTTAGTAAAAATGTAAACTTGTGAGTTTTTGTAAGATGATATGAACTATAACTAACTCAGGAATGTGAAAAATATAAACAGTACAAACAACATATTTGTTATTATCATAACATGAACCTTTTGACATTTTTGTACCTTGTTCCCCCTGAATTTCGTCTCCATGTTTTCTCTGTAACATGTGCAGAGAATGTAGATACATTCTAAAACACCCACCCACAAATCTACAGACACATACATGCATACCAAGACACAACCATGTATAGACACAAATGTGGACACACTCTCAGATCAACATGTACACACAGACACTCTAAGTCACAAGTACCTGAAGATACACAGACATGTAGAATTCAGACAGTGATTAAAAGATTTATTATACATATAATATCCTTCTGACATCACACAATACATAATTCACATTATGTGTGATTACATGAGAATTTAAAATTGAGTATAATATCATAAAATAATACAGCACAGTGTATAGGGTTTTAGCCAGCATACTCTTTTAATAGTACAAAATATTCTATGCTATGGACAAATTATAATTGATCTTTCGATTACTGTCCTGAAAATCTGTGTGTGGGAGGTGGCTTTGAATAGTCACTGTCATGAACAGTGGCTACGGCCATCTGCATTGGTCACTTTCTTCACTTCTGTAATCAAGTACCTGATGAGTATCTGAAGCAAGAAGTATTTATTTTGGCTCACAGTTAAAGGGGTTAGTCTGTTATGGCTGGAAAGGGGGAGAAGTAGCTCACGGCCATGGAAGCAGGAAAATAAGACTTCCTGTGCACTTCTCCATGGAGCAAGAAGCAGAAACGACACAGAGAGAAACAAGGCTACAGACTTCAAGGCCTGCTCTCCAGAGATCTACTTCCTCCAGCTAGCCCAACCTCGCAAAGCTTCTACAGGGTCCCCAACAGTGCCATCAGGTGATGAACCTGTATCAGACACCTGAATGGCAATTCCACCCTGCTCTGCATCCCTTTGTGGGCTTGGCCATTTCATTTCTTCTGACAAATTCTTGGAAATGGAATTGCTGATTTGAAAAGTCTGAACCTTTCGCTGTGTTTTCATATTTACAAACCGGATAAGGGATCTTCTCTCCCACACTCTTCAATATTTCCTTTCAATCCTCTTAAGTTTTGTCTTTTTCATTTATAACATGTTAAAGTGACTCTCATATACACGGCAAACACAAATGGATACTCCCGCTAGTCTTTCACAGAATAACTAACATTTTATTTTAAACCAACAACTACCAATTTATTTTAAACTAACAGATCAAGACAGAACAAAATAACATAGTGAAGATGTGCTTTTAAGACATTTAAACACAAAAAACATGAAACCTTCTCAAATTCCTCTGCCATCAATATATTCCACTCTCTGGAGGGTAAGTATTCAGAATGTTGCCAGAATTCTGGTTCTTCTGTTAATTTGATTCACACAGTTGATTAATTACTACGCCATTCCCTGCTGGAATCAAGGGCAGATGGAGATATGCTTCTATGTATACTAATCCTATCGTGGAACATCAACATTTGATCATTTTTCACAGGGTATTTTTGGAAGCTTTTAACCACTAAATCTTTCTTAATAAGAAAGTTAAACAGAACTTAGAAATGTCATTGTTCACTTAAATTATTGGATTGGATATAGAAAGTATTATGGAAGTGAAGCGTGAGATGAGTCACACAATGAAAAATAGCGACACATCGAAGAACAGATTTGGAAGTGGAACGTGCCAGGAGATAGTCCTCCTCTGGTTGGAAACCACACGCTAACTCTACAGATGGTTTTAAGCCGCAAATGATAACACCGCCACAGCCAGGGATGTCCAGGAGAGGTGGGAAGCTATGACCTGGGCCTCGGTTTGCTCAGACCACCTATAACAACAGTGTTTGGTTTCAATTTTCTATACGTTTTCTCACTCTAATGCCCCTTTTGCTGGGGCGGAAGCAAGGACAAGATGGGTTACAGTTTACGGCATGGCCAGTGGACACTTCTTTCTACACCCCGTCATCTTCATGAGGTACAGCACGTGCTGCTTCTATGAGCCCAGCTCCCCGGACTGTTGGTCTCCCCAAGAGAGGACTGAAGACACAGGAAGGCAAGTGGGCATCTCCTCTCTGCTAATGAAAGCCATCAGCTCCCGTATCTCTAATAACACACAGGGGAGGCTGGTGAGGTTGGCAATCCCTAAGCAGAAGGAATGCACTGAGCAGCTCTATTTACTTGTGGGATACCGCCAGGACGGATCCTCACGTGGAGCCACACCCACTTTCCCTTTTCTTCCTGGCTGTGGATTGGTAGAACTCCTCGTGTGTCTATGCACACAGAACATGGCTCCTTTGACTCCCCTCTTGTCTTGGCACCCAGAAAAACCACAGTGCTGGTGACTAGAGAGCCCTCACCTCTTCTGAGTGACTCCTCAGCAGCTAATGTCTAATCAGAAACTCCCCAAAGCCACCTGGACCCAGACCAAGCCCGGGCCCAGGCATCCTGCTGTCCTTGGTGCTGTCCACAATCACTGCTGCTCTCCTCTCTCTCTAGTGGTCCTTACTTCTGCCTCAACATGAAAATGAACCAAGGAGTTCTGCAGGCATTTACCAACATTACACACAGGAAGAGCGGCCAAAATGCCTTTGGTCATATCGCTGTACCGTCCAATCTGCCCTTGGCCACGGCCACCTCCATCCAGAGTTAGTTAGTGCCCTAGTGGCCCTCCTCCTTTCTCCGTGAGATTCGCTGTTGCAGCTACAGTGGCTTATACACCTCGTGAAACATACGAAGATTATTATATCTCTTTATTATAGCCAACACTTGGTCACATCACTAAAATTTTTAAACCAATTTCTATATTCACTGCTATTCCCCGTCATCTCTGCCTCCTGATGTAGGTTGAATTTTGTTTTTGCTGAAGCATACAGGATGTTCTTTTGATAGGCATGTGGTTGGGAAAATGCCTAAGTGATGCAGGTCTGAAAATATCTTCACGTGTTCCCTTCTGCAAGATGCCACACTACATTTACATCGTAGGGGGCACCATGCCACAGTTCAGGAGGACACATGTGAGCCTGGTAAGTCCCCTCCTACTCTGACCTCTTGGGTCCTTTCCAGGAAAGCAACGGATGCTGCCATATGCTGTGGGTTTCTGCAAGGCTGTTGGCGAACACGCAAACTGAATGAACAACACGCTACTCCTGCCTCAGCCTCTGCAGTGGATCTGATGGGAAACTTTGTCTCTTGCTTTCCACCTGATTAACACACCCTGGCTCTCGTTCCAGTGGACCACCTAGGGGCTTGCATGCCTTTTGAAGAGTGCAACCTCCCAGGGAACAGTGTGCCACAAATCATTTAATCAGCCTTCCACCCCGTTCCTGCCCCAGGGCTGGCGAGGCTTATTAGCAGGTAAAAGTGCTTTTGCTAAAACCTGGCAACCTGAGTTCAACCCCAGAACACACGCAGTGGGCAGAACTGGCTTCTGTACGTTGTCCTCTGACTGCTACAAGCACACTGTGGTACATGAACACACTCCCTCTGCCCATGAAAACATGAATAAATGTAAAAAAGGTTTGAACTAAGCCCTCAATGTGAAGATTTAGACTTCTAATCTCTCTTTATTGTGAGCAATGTCACAGCTAATAACTCAGAGCGTGCCAATCTTAGTACACAGGAGTTAGTTCACAGGAGAACTGGCTAGACGGAGAACTTCTGGGCCCAGGTGGGTGTATTTGGAGCTGACCGTATTTTCTGTCTGCCTTTAGTCGTGACAGCCAGGCTTGGAAGCCTGACAAAGGACATGGATTTATGACTCCACGACAACAGGGCAGATGAAAAGGGGATTACAAGTCACTTTTAATTTGTGTCTCTCTCCTCAGTAGAAGCCAAGCACTCTCTTTGGTGTTGAGAGAGTTGCCTATTTGTTTTGTGAAACGCCAATAACCCTGTTTTGTCCACTTTTCTCTGAGGTATTGACCTTTTATTTTTCCACTAACACATGAGAGTTTTATATATTAAATAAATGAATTCTTTATCCATTCTATCAGCTGCCACTGTCTTCTTAGTTCACTATTTGTTTTCTGACTTCACACGTGGCAAGCTGGCATGCATACTTCTGAGTCTTATCAAGTATAATCAACAATTTTATGACCCTGGGCCATATGTATAACTTTATAGGGAAAGAATTCTCCCATGTTGTCTTGAGTACTTCCTTATTTTCATGTTCAGTTTTAAATTCTGTATCCTTCTGGAATTTAGTTAGTTCATTTTCCTTAGCTATGCAGGTGGTCTCAACAAAATAAAAAAAAAATCACAACTCCCTGATTCATCAGGCCCACTGTGCTCTGTGGATTGGAGGTCCAGCAGAGCATGGTGCTCTGACATCCGAGTGTCCCTATAGCTGAGTGTCCATCGCCTCAGCCATCCCAGGCGGATGGAGAGTGCTGGACACACTGCTAGCATGACAGGAGACAGAGATTTTAATTTAAATTAAAGTTTAATTTAAATGAAGTTTCAACTTAAACATCTGAATGGAGGCAAAGGCTGAAGTCAGTACTTAACCACCCTGAACAAAAGAAAGGCTAGAGTGGCATGTCACTTCACTGGGTGAGGGTCTGTCTGTCTCGCACTCTCGTCCCGTCTGTCTACACTGCTCTTCCTTCTTCACGCTGTATACCATGTTCTTTATAACCATAATGACTGCACGCTGGTTCTTCAGCTGAGACCGTCCTCACAATGTCCCTTCCCTGTAGAGTCTGCTGCTGGACCTCAGTGTGTACTGTATTTCAAATGCACCTCTGTGGCTGCCTCCTGCATTATGCTATATCTCCAATTTCCTCTTTGCAGAAACTATGGAAATATTTGTAGCCAATCATACTCTGGGCACAGTTTTATTACATTTTTTTCATATTTTCTATTACTTATTCACAGGTTTGATCATGTCCCCCAGTAAAGTGTGAGCTTAAGCTTGGCAGAATGTGTCTGTTTTGCTATTCTGTAATTTACAATCATCATAAATATGTTTATAAGAGAAAGTGTTGCCTGACTGGTAATTCCTAGTGTTGCTTCTGTAACATAGTGATGGATTCCAGACTCTGATCCATGGAGCTCTACAGCTCTACCAAAACTGCTCAGAATTTATAAATCCAGGAACTATAACACCATTTTGGGCAGGAAAAAGCATTTGCTGGGCCAACATGATTTTAAGCACTAACATCACAGCGAGGTTAGGATAGGACTCATCATGACTAGCCATGTAGTGTGAGTCCCAGTTTTCCCATTCCTGGAGTGAGTGTCTCCCTGAAAAAGCTGTTGGAGAACTGGATCACGGGCACACCAGTGGCTCATCAGCAAAGAGAGCACTGTAGACATAGGCCAGGACCAAGGACAGCACCTTGGATAAACGTCAGCTCCCTTAGGCTGGAGTCAGCACCAAGGACAGCATCCCTATGCTGGAGGTTGCACCAGGGACCAAATCAACCCACTACAAACAATACAAAGTGTTAACAGTGCCCTCAGGAGGTCACTGGCAATGACAGCAGAGTACAGGAAGACATGGGGAGGGGGGGACTCTGTCTCCTTCTGTGGCTGCTGCAAGCTCACACTTGGTGTCCTTTCGTCTTCTAGCTGCTTGCACTCCCCCAGACAAATTCACGTGCCATTTACTGAATAAACTAATGAAGTAGTACCTCCTTTTTCAGGGGACCAGGAAAGGCCATAAGGATCAGGATAGTCAAGACTTCTACAACACAGACCCGAACTTCTGAAGATGCAGAAATGAGAGTGTACACTGACCTTCTGAGCAAGGTGACCTGATCCAATGCAGCAACGGAAGATGGACACACTACCTGTGGGAGACTGAGAGGTGCTAGCGCTTACATGACTGTGACTTAATGCGATTCCAGGGGGGGTTCCTAAGCCCCAAGTGATACGTTTTCATGCATATGTCTATAGGAGAATGAAATGCTTACATGTATCCTGTGGTTACTTTTCCAACAGAGTCATCCTTAATGTGATGCTTAAAGAGCTTATTATAACATTCTTCTAAATGAACATACGGCATTTAATTTCTCCATTTACTATTCATGTTAATGGCAGGCAGGATTATCAGGGATTATTCAAGAAAAATTGAAAACCAGTTTTGGGTTTTCCCTCATGTAAATATTTTTGAGTTCTTAAAACAGTTTCGGCTAGCATCCCTCCTTGCACACATATACAGATCACTGCACACCGCCCTTAGACACTTCCACAGTCTTCCCCAAACTTCCTCCCTTGCCACTGCCCTTCCTCCCCGAGAGCCCTCTTTTGCTTTCATATCACACACTGCACATGTGTGCAATTAAATATACCTTTGCATGGGATAAAACATGCAATATCATGCCTCTCTCCCCCTGCATCACCTTCTTTTGTATTTCCCTAGTGGCTGAGGACCAGGCTATTGTACCTTAAAAAACAATAACATGAAAGTTCAAAATGTTACAGCAAGCGTGGCCATTAGTCAAGGAAAAGAGTAAACATTTCCCACAGTTCCTTCAATAAAACAGCCACGATTAAAACTCAATAGATCCGCCGGGTGTGGTGGCGCACGCCTTTAATCCCAGCACTTGGGAGGCAGAGGCAGGCGGATCTCTGTGAGTTCGAGGCCAGCCTGGGCTACCAAGTGAGTTCCAGGAAAGGCGCAAAGCTACACAGAGAAACCCTGTCTCAAAAAAACCAAAAAAAAAAAAAAAAACCTCAATAGAATATTTAAAACTTGAATTTGCTCACATGGTTGGAATGCATTTCTCTCCTATCCAGCGATATCCACTCACATACTAAATAGCCTGACTTTAATGCATGAAGAGCATTTCATCCTATGAATATACCACAGAGAACTGATTTCAAATGTTGAGTACTCAGTTTTATAACTTAAAGCTCCAATGAGAGTAGCCTGATAGTTTTCTCCCCCCTCCCACATCTCAGAGAATGAAGGAAAGTTGGCTCAGGCTCCCAAATTACAAGACCCATGACAGTCAAAAGCCGCCTACAAGATGCAAACACCTCCAGGCAACACTTTCTCATCATCTGCCCTGTCCCTGGCTATGGAAGCTGTTCCTCCCTTGTGCTGTGTCAGTGCAGATGCTGATCGTCACTTATCCCACACTGAAGCGTTGTGTGATTTTAACGGGCAGCTGTGGAGTAGGTGTCGGATCATGTCCTGCTCAGCCTCTGAAGAGTTGTGTGATTTTAATGGGCAGTTGTGGAGTAGGTGTCGGATCATGTCCTGCTTAGACTTTGCCTTTATGGTTTCCTAGTCCTCTCCTCCTGCATCTTGTTAAATTGTCCTAACCATTAAAAAAAAATTGTGTCCCTACCAAGATTCACACCCTCAGCCACTCCAACAAGTATACCACTTAAGTGGGAAACCAGCTTCCAGTTCAGAGGTTCCCATGACTACAGGCCAGAATGAGGTATGCAGATTGTAGTACCTGTGGTCTGATAGAACATGAAACATGTTCTGGGCATGAGCAATGCATTCAAAAGACCACGATGACCAACCTAGACTACAGTACCAGCTACCCGCCATAGTTAAGGGAGAAAGGAAAACTTTCCATGATACAAACAACCTTAAAAAAATTACATCCCACAGACCAAACCTAAAGAAAACACAGGAAGCAGTATTTTGGGCCGAAGAGAGAAATGACTATAACCAAGAAGGTGTAGAAAGAAAAAAATGAAACTATAATTACTAACACACAAACAACACTGTGTTAGCTGTGTCCATGAGCATGTGTAACTACAGCCGTCTAATGCTTGACAAAGACGTCCAAACCACGTACTGGGGAAGACAGCATTTTCAGCTAACGGTGCTGGGAAAACTGGATGTCCACACGTGGAAGACCAAAATTAGCCTGGAATCTATCCTCTTGTACAAACACTAGCTCCGAACAGATCAAAGACCTAACGTGAAACCTGAAACAATGAAGTTGGCAGAAGAAAACAGCACAATACAGGAAATGGGCAGAGCAGAGGGTTCTCTGATAGGACCCCATTTGCCTAGGAATTAAGCCAACAATTGACAAGTGGGGCTTCATAAAACTAAAATGCTTCTGTGCAGCTAAAGAAATAATTGAATGAAGAAGCTCACAAAATGGTAATCTTTCCCAGCTACATATCTGACAGAGGATGAATATCCAGAATGTACAAAGGACTCAAGAAACAAAGAATCAAAGAGACAAATGGCCCCATAAAAAATGGGCTTTGGATCTAAACAGAGAATTCTCAATAGAAGAAACAAAAATGGCTTAGAAACACCTCAAAAAATGTTCATCATCCCTAACAATAAGGGAAATGCAAATCAAAACAATTCTGAGATTTCATCTTACTCCAGTCACACTGGCCAAGATCAACAGCACAACAGACAATGAATGCTGGCGAGGATACAGGGAGAAGGGAACCTTCATTCCCTGTCGGCGGGAGCAAATGAGATGTGACCTTCAGATGAACTTCTATGTTGCCTGTAAGATTCTGCTGGGTATATACAACTGTGAAGAACAAACAGATGCAGAGGAACCAACATGAGAGAATAAAGAAAGGAACCACCAGACTGTGTGTGAATTCACTCCGTTCCTACAAAAAGCCCTCATGTAAAAGCCCTAGGTTTCTCTCTGAGCCCTGTCCTGCAGTCTTGGAGCCAGCTTCCTGGGCTGTTACAGGCAACAGTGTACGGACTAAGCAGGCTGTGTTTATATACTCAGACAGTATGTGTAGAGAATGGGGCTGTCCCCACAAACTGCTGTCAAGACTTGAAGTGTGTTCTCCACAGAAGCCCCAGGCTAAGGGTATGATATACACCTAATGTTAAGTTCGAGAAACACTGATACCTGTAATCCGCCCTTACCTGTCGGCCTATGATCATGCGTGTGCTGTACCGCCTCAGGGGTCACATTCTTGGGTGGTGTCTCCAAGGCAGGAGTCTGAGGTGTCCCCTTATCTCTGCCACTTGAAACATTAGGAAAAAGTCTCTTCAGCACTTTTTCAGTAAACACTACAAAGGCAACAGATGAACATAGAAATGATTTACTTAAATTACATACGGCTTTCATTCAAAACAAAGACATCCTTACTACCCCAAAGCCAAGCGACTGGCTCCAACACTGGCCACTAGCCCTCAGAAAATCCCTAGGCACATACTCTCAGGCCACTGTGCTGGCACGACTTGGCAGGCGACCTCCCAGACCCCATGCTTCAAATGCACTTCCATGGCCTCTGCCCCTCGAATGACCCCCACTGCTCAGGGGATGATCCACTTTTGTGTTTGTTGGCCTTCTCGAGGCACAGACTTGCAGATAGGGAAGGATCCTAGGCCTGTCAGAGATGAAGAGCACTCAGGGGTCTACCTGTTACTGCACCTGCAGGGAGGCACCTGTGTTACGTGACCCTACTTTTCCCTGATGGGGGTCGGCCTTACACTGCATTTCTCCTACACTGAGTACAGTCAGTGAGTCACCACCCAGTGGAATTGACACTCGTTCCAGAAACCAGCTAGGCCAGACAGTCCACGTGCAGGTGGGACATCTCCTGTAGTCTGAGGTATGACAGACCAGCTATGAGGAGACCAACAGGGCATGGAAGGGCAATACACTCTCCAGCATCTCTCCCCTTTGAACCGCCTGACAAGTATCACTGTACAGCTCTAACAGCTTTAGCGTGAGTGTGGAAATTCTTCACTTGGTTTTAGCTCGCACTCGTACGATGCATCTTAGAACTTCAGATGGGCAGTGGAAGGTGTAGACTCAAAACACGTGAGGACAGGGATCTGCAGTGTGAACTATGAGAACAAACACCCAGAGTGGCTGGGGGATGGAGATTTCCTCGGTTGCAGGCAAAAACACTCGTCAACATTCCATCACACTCTCGAAGAATCTGTGCTGAGGAAACCCTGGAGAGTGTAGTTCAGTGGTAGCTTGTTATTCTTTTTCTCTTCTAGAAGTCTCTGTTTCAGGTTTAACATTGAGATCTTTGATCAGTTTGGAACTGAACTGTGTGCAGGGTGAGAACAAAGGACCACATTTCATTCTTCTACATGTAAACATCCTGTCTTCCCCACACTGTTAAAGATGCTGTTTTTTCCCTGGATGTGTATTTTTGGCATCTCTATCAAACATCAGGTGGCTGCACTTAGATCTGGGTCCTTAACTCTATTCCCTTGGTCGGTGTGTCTGTTTCTGTGCAGGTACCGCTGTGCTCTGCCACTGAGACTCAGTGGCGTTAAAATTGGGGCTGGTGACATCTCCGGCAGTGCTCTTAGTGTTCAAGGTTGTTTTCGCTATCAGGGTCTCTTGTGTCTCCATGTGAATTTAAGATTTTTTTTTCTGTTTGGAATTGTGTTAGAATTTTGATAGGCCTGAATTTGCATTGAATTTGTAGGCTGCTTTTGATAGGAAGCCATTTTCATAATATTAATCCTACCAATGCATGTGCACGGAGGTCTCTCCACCCGCTGGTGTCTTCAATTGCATCTTCAGTGTTTTAAAGTTTTCAGTGTGTGAGTCTTCCACTTGCTTGGTTTGTTTTGCACCATGTAATCTCCCTTCCTCCCTCCTTCTCTTTCCCTCCCTCACCTCGTGTGTGTGTGTGTGTGTGTGTGTGTGTGTGTGTGTGTGTGTGTGTGTGTTGTTTATTTTTAGGGAACAGAACTGTTTCTCTGATTTCTTTCTCAGTCTGTTTGTCTTGCTCTATGGGAAAGCTACTAATTTTTAGACATTACTTTTGTAACCTACCACTGTTATGGAGTATTAGTTTAAGATATGTTACATTTGTTTATGCTGTGGAATATTTGTTTAATGAGGCAAAGATGTGGTGCAATTTTTAAGTTGCATTTGCTTAACTCAAAAGCTTTGTTACTTTGCCTACCTAAAGCACCTGATTGGTCTAATAATGAGCTGAACAGCCAATAACAAGGCAATAGAGAGAAACAGGCTGTGGCTGGCAGGCAGAGAGAATAAATAGGAGGAGAAATCTAGGGAAGAGGGAAGTGGAGAGAAAAGGAGGAGGACAGGAGGATGCCAGGGTCCACCCAGGCACACAGCCAGCCTCAGAGTAAGAAGGAAAGAAAGGTACATAAAATCAAGAAAGGTAAAAAGCCCAGAGATAAAATGTAGTTAAAGAGAAATGGGATAATTTAAGTTAGAAAAGCTGCCTAGAAACAAGCCAAGCTAAGGCCGGGCATTCATAAGTAAGAATAAGTCTCCGTTTATTTGTGAGTTGGGTGGCAGATCCCCAAAGAGTAAAACAAAACAAAACAAACAAAAAAATTATAAATTTATAAACTCAAGTTCCATTTGCTTTTGGGATACCATCTTACAAGGACTCCAATTTGCAGTAAGGCTCGTAAAGGAAGGGAATGGCTCAGTTGTCTTTAGCTTACTTGCTATAGGTGAGTTAGGACTTCTGTTGGTCTTTTCTCTGTTAAACACACAGATTGCAAGCCCAGCGCCACTTTGAGATCTTTGGCAGCAGTTAATTCTGCAGCTCACACACGATTGAGCCTGTATGATACTGAGTATTCAAAGACGGGTAATGCCTAGGGGGCGCTCACCAACCTAAGACAGAGCTCCTGTATGGCCTGGGCAGGCGTTTCCATGACGGGAAAGGTGACCTGCTGATGTCCCATGCAACCTAAGTCAGAAGCTCATTTATTAGTAAAAGGGGGACCTGTAGGGCCCTGACCCCTGTTTTGGGTAACTGTTGCCTTGCTTGCCTACTTTGACCTTGATATTCTCCCTATGCTAATTCCCTCCTGGGTTCTACCCTCCTGAATGCTTAAGGGAAGTTCCTTGTCTGTATATCCTGCATAATGGGCATTAACAGCTTAGATGCAAGATTGTAAAATATTGGTAGTGAATTTCTGCCCTCTGGGGTTCTCCCATTATGCTGTAAGCTTGTATTTAAGACCTCCCTCCTTCAATAAATTGCATTCAGCATTAAAAAAAACCCAAACAAACAAAAAACAAAAATAAAAACAAAAAACCCTAAAACCAGAAAAATCCCACATAACTACATACCACTTTGGCTGAAAGTGCCTATCAGTTCCAGCAGTTTCCTGATGTAGCACTTGGGATCTCTTATGCATAGAATTATGTCATCTGTGCATAGAGATACTTTGACTTCCTCTTCCCCTATTTTTACCCCTTTTATTTCCTTCCCATGTCTTATTGCTCTAGCTAGGACTTCAAGCACCACATTGAACAGGAGTAGAAAGTGAACATCTTTGTCATGATCCTGATCTTAGTGGGAAAGCTCTCACAGTTTAATGGAAATTACTCTACACAGGGGATAATGCTCCTCCCAGAGCCCACAGGTTGCCAAATGAATAGCACAGATCACAGTGTGGGTGACTTCTTCCCTGAGTTCTTGGTCAGAGGTTATCCCAGGGACCCCCCAACAACACAGGTTATTGCCCTTACTCTTGGTTGCCCACAAGAACTTGATGGTAAGACCCTATGGCTGAAGATGGCACATACTTCGGTCACAGGACATGAACCAGGAAGCTTCCTGACTGCTGACTAGATTCATAATGCTGGAAGTTATGCAGGCTGCTGGTGGGGGGTCATCAACAGTCTTACCCACCCGTGAACCCTGAGGGCCACAATAATACTAGCATGGCAAGATATGCCCAAGGGTGCAATCGAAGCATGGATATTTTGGTAGTAATCAACTGCTTTCTGATTGGATTTAAGACCCATTCCATGAGCAAAGTCATGCCTGGTATTGGCCAAGAATCTGTTGTTAGGGAAATCACAGGCACAGGGGTGAACCTTCTCTTAGTCTGCTAAATGGACACAGTACCAAACTGCTCTCTAAAGTCCCATCTCTACACCCATGAATTAGTACAGCTCTCAGACCTCATCAGAGAAGTTTCTTTCATGTAGTAGAGGAAGTTACTGCAAAAACTTCCAACTGGCCCACTGCAGAGAGTTAAGTGTCTGTGGAGTACTCAGTCACAACTGGGGCATCTGTATATATCACACCCCTGCCCCCGAGGCTCAGGAACTATCAAGGAAGAGGTGGCGGAGAGATTGTAAGAATCAGAGGCTGGGGCTCTGGACATTAGTACAAATTGGACTTGGTGGGATGTATATGTATATGTATATGTATATGTATATGTATATGTATATGTATATGTATATGTATGATACGGACAGAGTTGGGAGGGTTGAAGGTGAATCTGGGAGGTAGCAGGAAGAGTGAGGAGCAATATAATCAAAACACGCATGCATGTATGAATTCCTCAAAGCATTAATGAACATATTATGGTTAGCTAGCTAGACAGACAGACAGACGGCAGGCAGGCTCTTTGTACCCTATAACTACAACTCTCAGTGGTTTCTCATATAATTCTTCAAAACCCAAAGAGTGCTCCTCGCGGGAACACGTGCTCACCGACGCTGCGTGAGCAGAGCTGTTACTAGTGCAGGTCTCTGTAGGGCAGCGCTTCTCAGTGCGGAACGGGTCCCTTTAGTGGAAGTTCACACTTCGGATGGGGTGGAAATTGAGCTGTCACTTTGTCATGTAAGACCATGGATTGTGAGGTCCTGGCAATAAGAGATTTCCTACAGACTAGTTTTACGTATAGTATAAAATTATAACTAGCATGTTGGACCCTGACAAAGTGTGGTTCTCATATAATCTATTGAAGATGAGCAGAACCAAGGTCTCTGTGCAGAAGGGCCATGTGTGGGACAACCCATAAGGAATATACCTTTGTGGCCACCCAAGCTGCAAAGAATGTTTTAGGCAATAGGATAGAGCCAGGCAGTCTGTGAAACATTTCTAACAATATACTATAGCATAGTTAAAAGAAAGTTTAAATTTTCACACAAAAACCAAATTGTCATGGGTATTTCTTTCAAATGGTAAAAGAGCAAAAAACTGCCATACACACACACACACACACACACACACACACACACACACACACACACGAAACCAGGTATAGACTGAAGTGTGAAACCTCCAAATCAATTCACCTGACAGGGCTTTCTA